GAATTAGAAAAGAATTGATACATCAAAACAAATATATGTACGAAAATATTTTACAATAAATCTTTGTTTAGTAATTAATTGATCTAGAACTTCATCAAAATCTCAACCATATATTCATTCATTTTAAATTGTGACACACGATAAATTTCGCATAACAGACATCGATTAAAACGATTTTTCTCTAAAAAAATTTACATAAATTATTTGATCGTTTGTATAATGAAAATAATGAAGAAATCTTAGTTTTCGAAAATAATCATCATTATTCAATGAAAATGATGTCAAAGAAAAGAATGAAATTTCCTACATGGAAATTCAAACAATAACCATTGAAATGAATTGTTTTTGTTTTTTTTTCTTTTTTTTAGTCACTGAGTTACGGCTGTGAATGTAATGTAAATAAAATAAGTACATATTCATCGTCGACTGACGATAAATTGATCGTCGATGATTATCTATTAATCATTATCATTGAATGATAGTTCATGTTTTTCAAATATCCTATATAACGAATGATTTTCTTATATAAAATCATTCAATTCAATCGATCTATTGTATCAACAATAGATTGAATAAGTATTCTCATAAATCTTATTTTTTTTTCAGGAGGTGCAAGATACAATTATGTACATAATTATGATATTTATACATATATATATTCCAATCTTAAATAGGGTATGTTGTTTCTTTTTTTTTTTTCGTATTGGGATAAAAAATTTATAAATAAGTTGAAAAGTTCTATTGGCCACTAGAACTTTTCAAGTTATTTTTTTCTTTCATACTTGTGTTATTCTGTAGAGAGGGAGATAGATACTATTTTATATCACAGCCCGTCAGATGGCTTCGTAATCTGACCCAGGGAGATTTCTTGTGCCTATGTTGGAGAAAGCAGTGGAGTACTCGGGAAGGCCGTCTGTTCGTAGGTCCCTGTCGCCGTTTACGTACGTCACACCTATGATCATGTCCTACTAGTCCGGCGTGGTCCGCTCTGCGTGTACCCATTGCGGGCTTACAGGGAGTCTTCCTGGTCGCGCGCGTACGCGAGAATGAGCCGAGAGAAGCCGGAAAAGTAAAGTCAATTGTAATTCAAATAAATTTATTAAGCAAATCGAAAAAAAACAAATTACATTTTCTTTTTTATATCGTTAATGATATCTGTCATTCGTTGACATAGAGGGTGTGTTGATGGAAGTGATTTCTGTACGATACCAAGTGACTTTTCTGCAAATGATAGTGCTTTTGAGTAATCACCCATGCCGCGATACACTGTAGCGATATGGCCGTACGAATAGCCCAAATCAGGATGATTCGAAGACAGAGCTTTTTCTCTTATTTTAAGTGATTTTTCGTAAAATTCAAGTGCTTTCGAGTAGTCACCCATGTTATTATACACTTGACCGATGTTGCTGTATGAAGTAGCCAAATGTGGATGATTCGAAGGCAGAGCTTTTTCGAAGATTTTATGTGATTTTTCGTAAAATTCAAGTGCTTTCGAGTAGTCACCCATGTTATTATACACTTGACCGATGTTGCTGTATGAAGTAGCCAAATCAGGATGATTCGAAGGCAGAGCTTTTTTTGTGATTTCTAGATCTTTTTCGTAAAATTCAAGTGCTTTCGAGTAGTCACCCATGTTATTATACACTTGACCGATAGTACTGTAGGGAATAGCCAAATCAGGATGTGTTGGAGGCAGAGCTTTCTTCCTAATTTCGAGATCTTTTCCATAGAATTCAAGAGCTTTGGAGTAGTTACCCAAATTATTGTACACTTGACCGATATTGTTGTAGGACTTAGCCAAATCAGGATGATTCGAAGGCAGAGCTTTTTCGAAGATTTTATGTGATTTTTCGTAAAATTCAAGTGCTTTCGAGTAGTCACCCATGTCGTTATACACTTGAGCAATATTATTGTACGTAGGAGCTAATGAAGGATGATCTTCCGGAAGAGTTTTTCGGTAGATTTTCAGAGATTGTTCGTAAAATGCAACTGCTTCTTCGTATTGTCCTTGGTTTCGTTTCATCACTCCAAGCTGGTGATAGATGTGTGCTCTATCACTATCATCCGATGCGTGTTCCAGTAGTGCCAGATATAGTTCTTCGGCCTTGTCAAATTGACCTATTTGTAGTAACAATTTACCCATTCGACGCCATCCAGTGCCGCTGACCTCTTTTCGTATAAAGTCAGTTAATTCTCGAAGTTGTGGATCATCATCTGACGTAAGTTTAAGATCGACTTGATAAAGTGGACGATTGTTGTCAATTTTTCGCACTTCACCAATGCGAAACACCGTGTGCATGGTGAAGAGAATTTCCTCTTCTTCTTTATAATAGCTCACCTCCTGGATGGAGGCGAATGGAGTTGATGATACTGTAGGATCAATGGTTATTTGGAATAGAATTCCAACCATATCAGTCATTTTCAAGGCGTCTTTGGCGAAAACAAGGGAGATATCTGAATTTGTGCTGGTTGATAAAAAGTTGTTAAAAGAAATAAGCCCACCTTTGTTTTCTGCGAGCTTTTGAAAATCTGCTTTCGATAGGCCTTGCCCTCGAAAGATTGTAAAAATCTTGTTATGGTATTGACTGACCTGATTTTTGTATAAGGTTTCGATTTGTCGATGTACATCACACAGGAAAAAACCCATTCGGATCATAATGTCGCCATTGAGTGTTCGTAATGCGCCATTCAGCATTTTGTAGGTAAAACATTGGCGTGTATACCACCAAATGGCGTTGGATGCTTTATAATTACGTTGAAATTCTTGGATAATTTTGATTTCATTCTTATTGCCTTGATATTCTTCTTGGCAGTAGGTGACCAAATCTTGGACGGCTTGTTGTTCATGTTTGATTTCAAGAAGTATTTCCTTGAATATTTGTGAATACATAAAAGAAGGTTCTAGCTGATCTAGATTCTTGCTAGAACCTTCTGCATTCCCACTAACAATACTCACCGACATGTGATCTTGATTGTATTGTTTGATTGCTGTTGCCAATTTGTCACAAATATGTTCGATTGAGGTGTGAACACCTTTAATTTTCGGCCAATTTTGCGCCCATACTTGGTGCCGTTGTTTATTGCCACAAAATATAAAAATGGCATTTAATTTTGCCATATCATGAATGTCCGGCACTAAATGTTGTCCAAGTGTACCTGAGGAGATAACAAATGAGATCTCCTCTTGATTTTCTGTGAGCTGTTGTATACATTGTTCAGCTGTCTTACATGGATTAACTTGATTGACGACAGCACGTAATTGTTCCATTGTATTTTGGCAATCTTCATTTGCCATGTCGATATTTCCATCGACCCAGATGACCAAATAATTTTCGGCCATGCGCTCTCTTCGCAGCATGGCTGTCGATGAAGCTGCTGTAATTGCACTAGCACCTGCTGTTGAAAGGACAATAGCTTTTTTGGAGTTTTTTCCACCCATATGTGATATAACTTGCCGTTGAATTGATGACTGAATATCGCGAATACTAGATTGTGGTTTCTACAAAGATCACCTTTACTATTTATATATTTGGTGTGCGCTGTTATTCTTTCTAAATATCTCTTCGACGTCAAATGTGGGTATTTTTTATTATTGAAGATAAACCCCGCCTAGTTTATCTTGAGAAAATTAACTATTATTTGCTTTTGTACATGGACTTTCGTTGTCCTATGAAACGAGGTTTACAATGCAAGATAAGAAGAGACTCTGAACCAGTAAATAAAATGATAACAAGAAGAACGACGCAAGGATAGAGATCGAGGATGTTATAGTCGTAAATTTATAGGCGAGTGCGATCTTATGGTGGAGAAGAGTAACAACGTAGATCAGAGGCGGCGGAACGTTTTGAAATTGGGTGAGGCTCAATGGAAGTTTATTTGCTATCCTAAAATGACATATCACATATCAGCATGAGGTAATCTGAACGAATTTCAGATGATAAATCATTTCAGAATATTTAATTGTTTTGCTGTCAGAAAGTTATTGTGCTAACGTATTCTGTTCTTTACTGGTAGAGTTTCTAAATCTTTATAGAAGGACGAAAATTCCAAAAAATACAAGAACTATGTATTTCATATTAAAACATTAAACAAAAAAAAGCTTGTCTTTTTTGTTTGACGATATAAATATGGGCACTATTTAATGGATTAAAAAGAGGCATAGTTTGAGGTACAGAAGATGCTTCATGAGCTTCGTCTCGAGAACTTGTTGCAAGATCAGTTAAATCAGTTAAAGCAATTTCTTCTATACACACAGATGTTGTTGCACCTTTTACTTTTTTAGTAAAATATTCCAAAATCAATCTGTACATCGTTTTCATGTCCCTTCTGTTTATAATCTAAATTATTGATTTTATGACTATAATCAAAAGAAAGTACTGTTTACCTGTTTGATTTTCATGTAAACATGAAATCACACTTTTCTTAGCAAGACTAAGATAATAATCTTCTAACGCACTAGTTAAATGATAATGCCGAGGCATTCAAAAACAAGAGAGCAACACATTCAGATAAGTATGCAAATAAACTCGTTTGACACTGTATTTTAGTTGGTATATTTGCTGATGTTTTTAACAATTACTGTGGATATATTTCGCTGAATACGTTAAAGAGAATGACAGGACACTCAAATAGAGCTAGTTTTGATGTCTTTTGATCGCATAATTCTACAGTTGGCCTAGTACACATATCACTTTATGTAAATGAGATAGAAGGTAACACTGTAAACCATAAGAACGTAGTTAGTGAGTTTATTATTGTCTGAATTTCTTAGTTTTCTTTATTACAACATATAAATAAACGTATTAGAAGTTTGATTCTTCGAACTGAAATAATATTCAACTGATAAGATAAGTCTAAACCATCGTGCAAAAAAATATCGAATTCATAATTTGGGCAAGGCTGAGCCTACAGACGCCAAATTTGGGTAAGACTCATGCCTCACCCAGTTTCTAGGTTCCGCCGCCTATGACATAGGGTGTGGGTGGTGTGAGTGTTTGGGGTAGGGATGTATAGTTGTGCGTGTGTGTGATTGAAGAAGAATAAGCTACACTCACACCCGCACACTTTGAAACTCAAGGTCAAAGTTAACCTGGGTGTAATCAAAAGTATCGTTGTCAGCAACAAAAGGTAGAGAAAAAAAACCCAGCAATATCATTTATTTTATCATTATTCTTTCCAACTTTCGTTTGCTTATCATCTTTATAGTTAATAGTCACTTGAAAGTCAGTGCGTTGGATGTCTTATCTCATTCAGTTTTTATTTGTCTTCTAGCATCTCGAAACAAATAAAGATATTGTCAGTTTTATTTTTTTTATTATGCATAAGACTTGCTGTCTGATAATGTGAGTAGAAAAAAATGAAGAATAAATTCAATATTGTTATAAACAACAATAGAACGACAGTTTCTGCTTGCGCCCCCAATATACTGTTCATCATTCACGAGTT